CACCTCCTTGTTTCTACGCTCATTGTCCATTTAATCAGCTCCACTTACTATATAGGTGCACTTTGTAGTTCTACAATTACAGACTGTAGTCCATCTGTTTCTCTGCATACTTTGTTAGCCCCCTTTTACCCTGTTCTTCAGTGGTCAGGACCCCCATGGACCCCCACAGAGCAGGTACTATTTGGGTGGTGGATTATTCTCAGCGCTGCTGTAACACTGACATGGTGGTAGTGTGTTAGTGTGTGTTGCGCTGGTCTGAGTGGATCAGACACAGCAGTGCTGCTGGAGTTTTTAAACACCTCAGTGTCACTGCTGGACTGAGAATGGTCCACAAACCAAAAATATCCGGCCAACAGTGTCCTGTGGGCAGCGTCCTGTGACCACTGATGAAGGACTAGAGGATGACCAGCACAAACTGTGCAGCAGCAGATGAGCTATCGTCTCTGACTTTACATCTACAAGGTGGACTGACAAGGTAGGAGTGTCTAATAGAGTGGACAGTGAGTGGACACAATGTTTAAACTCCAGCAGCACTGCTGTGTCTGATCCACTCGTACCAGCACAACACACACTAACATACCACCACCAAGTCAGTGTTACTGCAATACTGAGAATGGTCCACCACCCAAATAGTACCTGCTGTGTGAGGGTCCATGGGGGTCCTGATCACTGAAGAACAGGGTAAAAGGTGGCTAACAAAGTATGCAGAGAAACAGATGGACTACAGTCTGTAACTGTAGAACTACAAAGTGCACCTATATAGTAAGTGGAGCTGATAAAGTGGACAATGAGCGTAGAAACATAATGTTATGCCTGATCGGTATATATGCAGAAATTGTCCATTAAAGTTTTGCCCCTGCCACTCACTACTACATACATTTAATGTAAACAGTGATATGGTACAGTACTGTGTTTTAGTTGTGTGAGGTAGTATGTTATTTAGCATGTGTGCAGCATGTAATCTAAAATAATGTGTGCTTTTGGGCAGGACTAAAATCAATGCCCCAACCAACCTCACTCACTTCAGGACACAACTGTGTCTACTTCATGCTAAGTAGCATTACTTATTATTAATTTATCAAAATACAGCTGAAAATATACTCTACAACTATACTATACAACCGACCCCTATTAGAGTACTGGTTAAGCTACTCCACCCATCTCTGGATGGGACGCATAATAGAAATATCTTGTAAGTACTATGGTTCCTGGCTATGATTTGACCATGTCTTTTTGTGAGTTTTGCACCACTTTCTGCCCCAGTATTCTGCTTTTACATCATTTACTGTAATAGAAGAAGAACTGAGACAGTCGCGCCCCTTTCTGACATAATGATTCAACCTCTCAACTTTCAAATGACCTAAACCGAATCAGAAGGATGTGATATTAATGTATAACCTATTTTGCCCACGCAACTAGGTACACATCTCTAAATTAGCCAATTTATCTTCCTTCCTTATGGAACTCTCAGCTGGTGCAGAGTCCTATTATCTTCTATCACTGATCAAAACCTGCACAAACAGTAAGATGTTGCCTGGACTACAGATTACAATGAGCCCATTGACCTCATCTTGTCTTAAATGGTGACAGTGGTGGACGAAGTACACAAACTATGTACTTGAGTTAAAGTAGAGATACCCAAGGTAAAATTTTACTCCAGTAAAAGTAGAAGTTCCTCCCTTTAGACCTCCACTTGAGTAAAAGTGCAAAAGTATTTGCCTTCAAATGTACTTAAGTATCGAAAGTAAAAGTACTAAAAGATTAATTATGACTTTAATGTACTATTATCATTTTTGTAACAAGACTCTTCATTAACTCGTTTTAGGTGAAAATACTCCAGTCTTTTAATAGAATGTCATTAATTAGTGACGCTGATCTATTAAAATTATCATAAGCACCAAACACTGAAGGCAAACAATTTAGGAAGAACCAAGTGGTTGTCCAAATGCCAGCCACGACTGCATATATATTACTATATTGTGGTCTGTTTAGAAATAGGCACTCCCAAAATTTTTGCTGTTGCACTGATGTTGAAACATATGCTTGCACTGGGTCGGTATGTCCAACAGGTCAAAACAAAGTGCCCGCTGTGCCCTGATTGGTGTGCTGCTTCACGCTTCTTTCGTTTTAACATGTTGTGTTTTTATACATACATCAGCCAAAAGGAACGACGAGATAAGATATTTGACCTTGAAATTTAGAGAAGTGAAAGTAAAAAGTCACCCACAATGGAAATACTTCAGTAAAGTACAGATACACGAAAATCTACTTAAGTACAGCAATGAATTACAAATACTTACTGTCCACCACTGAATGGTGACTCCTGCTCACTGATCTCTTCGCTCTGATTCCTGGAAACTTGGCTCAGTCTTGAAAGAACCGCTTGCTTGTTAACCGAGTTGGAAAAGTGCTTATTGGCTGTCTCTTGCGAAGGTCTTTTGCTTATAAACTTGACCACAATTCAATGGACAAACATTGATTTTTAAGGTGGATTACTATCCTAACTTTCAATAAGAGGCCCCATGAGTGGCCCAATGATCTTATGTGTCCAATCCATACATATTCAATTAACAAAAAATGACAATGCACTGTGCTTATTTAGTATCTATTGTTATCTCTCAAACAAACTGATGCTCTAAATGCCACTGTGGCCTGCCACTCCACACACTAGTACAACCCCATTTCCAAAAAAGTTGGGACGCTGTACAAAATGTAAATAAAAACAAAATTCAACGATGTGCAAATGATTAAACCCTATATTTAATTGGAAATAGTACAAAGACAAAAAATCAAATGTTGAAACTAAGAAATTTGATTTTTTTTTTAATATATGCCTAATTCGAACTTGATGCCAACAACATTTTCCAAAAAAGTTGGGACGAGGGCATGTTTAACACTGTGTTTCATCACCTCTTCTTTTAACAACAGTTTGTAAGCGTTTGGGAACTGAAGAAACCGACTGCTGTAGTTTTGAAAGTGAAACGTTCTCCCATTTTTGCTTAACATAGGATTTCAGCTGCTCATCAGTTCAGGGTCTTCTTTGTCGTATTTTTAATTTAATCATGCACCAAATGTTTTCAGTGGTGACAGGTCTGGACTGCAGGCAGGCCAGTTTAGCGCCCAGACTCTTTTAATACGGAGCAATGCTGTTGTAATACAGGCAGAATGTGGTTTGTCATTGTCTTCCTGAAATAATCAGGCCTTCCCTGAAAAAGACGTCATCTGGATGGCAGCATATGTTGCCAAAACATGTATATATCATTCAGCATTAATGGTGCCTTCATAGATGTGAACATCACCCATGCCATGTGCACTAATGCACCCCTATACCATCATGAATACTGGCTTTTGAACTGTGCACTGATAACAAGCTGAGTGGTCTTTAGCCCAGAGGACACAGTGTCCATGATTTCCAAAAAGAAATTAAAATGTTGATTTGTCAGACCACAGGACACTTTTCCACCTCCCCTCAGTCCATTTTAAATGAGTTCAGGCCCAGAGAAGGCAGCAGCATTTCTGGATCCGGTTTATATATGGTTTCTTCTTTGTGTTTTAGAGTTTTAACTTGCATTTGTGGAAGCAGTGATGAACTGTTTTCACAGACAGTGGTTTTCAGAAGTGTCCATGCAGTGATTTCCTCTACAGAATCATGTCTGTTTTTAATGCAGTGCCTCCTGAGGGCCCAAAGATCAGGGTCAGCAAATACTGGTTTTTGGTCTTGTCCCTCGTATACAGGGATTTCTCCAGATTCTCTGAATCGTTTAATGATATTATGTACTGTAGATGATAAACAGCAACAGTTCTTTGCTATTTTATATTGAGAAACTTTATTCTTGAATTGTTGCACTATTTGCTTGTGCAGTCTTTCACAGAGTGGAGAACCCCTCCCCATCTTTACTTCTGAAAGACTCAGCCTCTTTGCGATGCTTTTTTATACCCAATCATGTTATTGACCTGTTGCCAATCAACCACCTGGTGTTTTTTAAGCAGTACACAACTTTACCAGCCTTTTGTTGCTCCTGCCCCAACTTTTTTGGAATGTGTTGCTGGCATTAAATTCAAAATGGGCATATATTTTTCAAAAAACAATAAAATTTCTCAGTGTCAACATTTGATGTGTTGTCTATGAAGCATTTTCAATGAAATATGGGGTTTAAATGATTTGCACATCATTGCATTTTGTTTTTTTTTCCATTTTTCACAGCGTCCCAACTTTTTTTGGAAATGGGGTTGTATATAAAGTTAACCTAAATGTTTACTACCTTTCTGAGATTTTAGAGTTATAAATAAAAATTATTTCATGCTGCAGGTTCTTTGAAAGTGGTTACTGTGGATGAGCTACATTACTGATAAGAGGAAGACTTTCGGTCAAATGACGTTTTGTTAATTTTCTAATATAATATTTAGTATAACATTGCAATATAAAGCTTAAATGTGGCATTTACTGCACATTTTAGTGCACAGTTTTATTTATTTATGTATGTATGTATTTGCTGAGTTTAATATATGGTACATTCTATATATTTTCCTATAACTTCCACATTTTACATTTAATTTTTAGGTCAAATTCAGCAAATAAACTGTAACTTGTTTTACATTTGGCAAAAAATACCTTGATGACCCCAAGCCTTTTGGAATAATTGGTTAAAAGTGGAACTTTCTGGAACATGGGAGTCCCATTAAATCTGTCGAGAGCTAACGCAGCATTCCACAATAAGAACATGGGTGCTTTGCTGCTTCACGGCCTGGGCTACCGTAGTGTAGATAGATTATTTTAGTGCACATTTTAAATTTATCTGCTGAGTTTAACATAATGGAAAACATAAAATATAAAATGTGCCATAACTTTTGCACAGACCACATTTCATGTTTTATTTAATCAGTTTATGTGTAAATTAGTGCAAAAAAATCCACATCACTTTGCATCATTGCAAATAGCCTTTATTCAGCATATATTTAGTGTTTTGAAATCAGAAGGATGTTTAATTCATACCCCGTTGTTGACATCAGCTTCAGCTCTAAATATGAACTGTAAGTCACTGCATGTTGGAAATTTATTTTGATCCAACTGGGTTCAATTCAGAAATGACATAAGGACACAGGAAAGAAACGTTACTTTTTGTGGATGCATTCAAATCACCTGCTTGATCTGAATTACAAAGTAATACATTTCTACAAAGCCTATAAGGAGAGCTGCATCATGTGTAGTTACTTTAAACCAATGATTTATGTATAAATATCTGTGTAATAAACAAATGCATGTGCAAAATAAACAAATAAACTATTTGTATGGTCTTCAAAAACACCCTTCATCTCTAACTGGCTTTAGTTCCAGTGCAGATGGTGGTGCATGGTGATGATGTTGTACGGTGGTTTAGTATAATATGTTGATTATGACGATTAGCACGATGTACACGATAGTGATGACGATTCCAATCCCCAGCGCTGTGTTGTTCAAGATGCGCGCTGTCCGTGAATTACTCTCAGCCAGAGGTCTGTTGCCAGACATGTTGGCATCTCGAGTCTGAAAGAATAGAGAGAACAGAAAGAACTTCATACATGATTCAACTCAGTGAAGCTTTTCCTTCACAACACCTGCAAGACGCTGTTGAAAACCAACATTGAGAAAATGTCATCAACGTCACAAACCAATTTTAGAATCTCATAAGATTTTGCAAATTTCTGTTTTGCGTTGGCAACATGGTTATGGTTTCATATTTGTTAGGTAACCATTCAGGGATAAATGAATAGTGCTGCATTAACATATAGTGAACTACCACTAACCACTAAGGAGTACTAGTTAATTACTCAGAAGGAAACAGTGAACTAATAATTAAATGAATAACTACTCATAAATGACTGATCAATTCAATGTTAACTGCTCGAAAGCTGAGTCTTACAAGGCTCTTTGTGAACTACTAGCTGATGTAGAGTATTCCAACACTTGAATTGAACACTTGTATTGAAATGCACTTGTATTAAAATATACTACAGTGTGCAGTATAGCGTTAAGCCGCTTTCCTGTAGCTCTCTTAGTTTTTGCTATGCTATTTTTCAGTTCCTCTTAAGTTTTGAACTTATTCTTAAGTGAATTTACAACATTATTTCTCCACTGTATATAATGTTAAGGGTGATTATATATATATATATATAGGGCGGCACGGTGGCGCAGTGGGTAGCGCTGTCGCCTCACAGCAAGAATGGCCTGGGTTCGATTCCCGTCCGGGCGACCAGGGTCATTTCTGTGTGGAGTTTGCATGATCTCCCCGTGTCTGCGTGGGTTTCCTCCGGGTACTCCGGTTTCCTCCCACAGTCCAAAAACATGCAGTTAGGCCGATTGGACGTGCTAAAATTGCCCCTAGGTGTGACTGTGTATGTCTGTCTGTCTGCCCTGCGATGGACTGGCGACCTGTCCAGGGTGTATCCTGCCTTCCGCCCAATGACAGCTGGGATAGGCTCCAGCACCCCACCGTGACCCAGTAGGATAAGCGGTTTAGATGATGTATGTATGTATATATATATGTGTGTGTGTATATATATATATATATAATCACCCTTAACATTATATACAGTGGAGAAATAATGTTGTAAATATATATATATATACACTCTGGAAGTATAAAATGATCTTCACATAGGCCACCTGGTGGTGTGTACAATCAAGTTACATTCAGATAGTGTAGAGCATTTTGCCCAATGATGCTATTCAAAACACTTTGGAAAGAAAATTTTAGCTGCGTTCCAAAGCCTAGGCTGCAGCTGAGGTAGGCCGGGTCCTCGGTAGGACTGTCCTATGAAGACTCCTCCTTAGTGGCCTATTGGTCACACAAACAGAACAGTCCTAACGAGGCTGCGTGGTGACGTTGCCAGAATGGCGCAAAACTTGTGACGCTTTTTCATTTCTTCGCGGAAACAGAGGAGATGTTCTTATGTACGATAAATTACATATACACAAATACTTCTAAATAAAATACGATATATGGACGAAATATGATATACGGACGATATATGATATATGGATGATGTATGACATATGGATGATATATGATATATGGACATTTTACATTTTAAAACAAGCTCTACTCCAACAGCTTCGTTTTCCGCCATTTTCGTGGCGCTGATTTTTTTTCTCCTTCATGTCGTTCGTGCACAGAGAACTGTGGGTAACCGAAGGCCTGGAAGGACACATTTGATGCATCTTTGAAATCGCTCTGAACGTAGGCTGCATTTCTAGGTTGTATACGAAGGGTCCTTCACTTTAGAAAAACCAGCTATGACCAGAGATGTAAGTAATGAATTACATTTACTCTTGTTACTGTACTTGAGTACAGTTTTCCCTGTAACGGTACTTTTTGGAGTAGAATTAAATCATAGTACTTGAGCTCATTTTTAATGAAATACTTTTACTTCGCTACTTTGATTTTCATAACGTTACAGAGGAAAAATAAATGATGAGCGAATCAGCTCAGAAACCGATACGAACGAAGGGCGGTTAAATTTAAAAGATTCACCAATAAAAACACAGCAGCTGCGGCAGGAAAAACACTACAGAGATGCCCAGTTTAGTGGAGAAGGACAGAGGAGGACCTAACCAGCACACACGAGGAACAGACCACATCCAAACGGTCATCTGTGTTCATTTATCATGAACTAAAGAAAACGGCGTTAATATCGGCGGCCAAACATGAAACCTGCTGAGATCCGCTCTCACAACTCGACTCCAGCCTGAGGGAGCGTTAGCTGAACTATCTCTCCCCTCCTTGCCTTGGTGTTTGTCTTTAACTGTGAGAGGCTGTGTAGCTGTTTAACTGAGAAATGCAGTAATGATGTCTGATTCTGTATGAGGTGATCAGCATGATTAGTGAAATATATTATCAGTGGAAATATACAGTTTGAAGGCTGTGAAAGTGTTTACTGTCTGTAGTGGTTCATACCTATTATCGTAAGCTAGAGTCCAGGGAGCTGATGGGCAGCAGACTCGCTAAAATTACATTATTAATTAAACAGTCTGCTCATAATTTTGACTCATTTTTTCTCTTAAATGAACTTAATTAAACAGTAACGCCCTCTGCACAGCCTTTCAGGGATTCTAAAATACTTTACTGGAAACAGTTAACTAGGACGTCTTATGTAATCATCTAACCATGAAATGCATGGAGTTTACTGTACACTTTGTTCCGTACCCAGTTCACGGAAAGGTGTGTAGATGTGCTCTAGCAGAGCGAACTGTGATCAGTCTCAGCTCTCAAAACTTCAGTTGTAGTGTTTTTCTATACAGATTACTTCCAATGATGTAGCCAAGTCAGAAATATGTTCAGGTTGTGACAGCAGAAACACGAAAAAGTAACTAAGTAACTCAGTACTTAAGTAGTTTTTTAATGAACTACTCATTTACTCTTACTTGAGTAATTTTATTTACTAATACTTTTACTTGTACTTGAGTAAATGATCACTACAGTAACAGTACTCGTACTTGAGTATTGATTGATTTATCAGTCTACTCAGGCTTTAGCAGAGCTCAGTAACACTGAGATTAATAATTGATCATTACACTTATTTATCAGTCTACTCAGGCTTTAGTAGGAACTTCAGTGTCTGTAAAGAAGCTGTTTTTTTACACGCTGCATGTTAATAGTTAATAAACAAGCATTGATGGTGTTTCTTTTACTGATAGTAAGGTATTTCAGGTATATATTTTTAAATTTAGTGGGTCTGTGTTCTAAAAGTATGCTCCTAAACATTTTAAAAAGTGACTATTCTAAATACTGCCTTTACAAAATGTAACTTGTGCTGTATGCAGATACCCAATTTTTGTATTTTGAACACATATTTACAATACTTGTATTCCGTTACATCCCAGCCCTTCTTGGTGCAAACTGACATGTTATTCCACATAACCTCTATAAGCCATACTTACTTTTATTGAGAAGACGAGAGCAGCAATGCCCAGTGGTAAGCAGCAGCACAGCATGGTGAAGATGGAGAAGCCCAGGTAGTCAGGCAAGGGCTGAGCCAGGGGACCGGTGGCCACATGGAATGTAGGCTGCACAGTCACAATGGGTTGACCAGGGTATGGACCCTGAGACTGACCCTGATATGACGCTTCACAAGGCTGGCCCTGAGGGTAGCCAGTCTGGTTGGGGTAGCCTGGAGGTGGATTGTAACCAGTATTGTAGTCCGGATCTGATGGAGGCTGTTTATCCATGTCTGAATTCTCTCCTAGATTCCAGCCAGTCGGAGACGGAATTGGTGACTTGTTGGTTTTCCTTGGTTGGTGCTCTGCTTGTCAATAAGTATAAACGCTGCACTCTTATCTGTTCCTAGTCTTTAATAAATAAACCATCCTAGTGGGTGAGGCCACTGGTTGGGAGGGGCATCAAGGACTATATGAAAACTCTGGTGAAAGAGTAGTTAAGCCTCACATATCAGTGAATTGTGAAATATTCACATGAGAGGGATGTAACAGGATGTAACTTAAATGTAATACAATAAAAATGGAAGAATCCACCTGAGGGAAGTAAAGTCTCTGCAGTTTCCCTGTTTCTTTTCTTAAGGGTGTCCATGTAAAGCCCTCAGTATCAGGCCTGAATTATCCCACGGACACCTGGGAGCCTGTTCTACTAAGGGGCCGTCTTGACTCGCAACGGTAACCAGTCACAATCCTGACATTCTCTTCATCATTTATGAATGTCCACTTCATGTTCTCCCCCTGTCACTGCTTAACAACCGTTCCTCTCTCTGCCATAATCAGTCAAGCTTTTAGGCTATTTAATTTTAGTGGCTAGTTAAAGTTTCCTGTGAATTTAGTGAATTTAAAGCCTGCAAAACCTGTAATAGCGAAACCTGGTAATAAACTGGTAATAAATTACAAATCATTTTACTTTTGTAACCCCTTTAACCTCCGTTAACTGATAAAGATAAGGGCCCCTGAGTTCTATCTATGGCTCAAATTAAAGCTATGTACTAAATCTCATATACGTTTATACTAATCAAATGATCAGTTTACTAAGTGTTGAAGTGAGTAAATTTTCTATTTTCTTATGAGTTTAAACACCGACAGTTATTAAACTTAAATTACAAAATAAAAATTATGATTATTAATAACAACAATCTTTTCAGCAATTTTTCAATTTGTCACAAAATCTGCTTTGAGCTTTATGAGTTAACTAAATACGTTTCACACCTTTTTAAGGCGAAGGGAAAAAAACACTTGTGTGCATTAATAGCGGTGTAGCTGGTTCACGTTCTCTTTTTTAGGGTGTTGTCCCTCGGAACCAAAAGAAGTCTGAGCGCTATCGGGGTTGGAAAATGAAAATGTCTCAGTTGCAAGCGAGGTGAAAAAGAGAGAGTAGTGGTCTTTGTTTCTTCAACATCAGACCACTTGTGCAGCTTTAGAGAGTTCAGAATAGCGAGGCTATCAGAGTACAATGTTTGTTGTTGCAGATGTCAACAGAGGAAAGGTTCACTGAGTTGTGTCAACAATACGCCTGTCTTTCTGAAGCTTCCTCGAGGGAGCTATTATACATGCAGGCTACTTAGCAAAGCTGGCTACACAATAATTCTTTCACTATGTCAGACCAGCCAATCATAGTGAAAAGAGAAAGAAAAACAATGGTGGACCCATTTTGGATCGTCACAAGGAGGGCAGAATGGATTGTCTATCCTTCAAAGAAAACCTATGTTAACATATCAAGAACGTTACATAAATGTAGCTAGCTACCAGGTTTGCTGTATGTAAACAGGTGCTATAAATGCTATTTCTCACCAACATTTGTCTTTTTGGACTGTCATGGCAGTCCCTCGAGGAAGCTTCAGAAAGACGGGTATTGTTGCCACAACTCAATGAACCTTTCCTCTGTTGACAAAATGAAGCAATCACATACCTATTGTTGCTGTCCAATGAAAAACGTCTATCTCCATTTTTTCAAATTTTTACTTTTCTACCTCATTTGAGCTCTGCAGCTGTCCTTTATATAGTGTGAACATGTCAAGATAATTGGACCAGTGAAAGTACTCCAAAATTGCTAAGAATAAAATCTCTTCTCATTAACTTACACTGAAAGTAACGAATGTTTTTCCCCTCCTGTGAAGTTACTATTTTGGAGATACTTGTTTTTCTTTGGACAGTGATGATATGTTAAACTATATTTGCAAGCTTTATTATTTATTATAAACTTTACTAAATGAACTGTTTCAAATTATTTTTAGGAATCAGATGTTTAATTTTAGCCAGGGCTAAACCCTCCTCTTTCTAAACAGATAATATCCTCATTAGGCCTCGGCCCACCTTTTTAGAGTTTTCCCTCGATAATCTGTGTCTTAGCTGGTAATGAATTTAGTTTGGCTGAGTACACAAAGCATAACTGCTGCATCCTGACCTCTATAAATATCACTTTATGACCACGCCATTGTGTATTATGGTCACAGGGCAGTTTGAAGGTTTTCCAGGCTCATCATACGGCCAGATAACTGGTCTCACTGCTTGTCTGGAGGAACACCATCCTCCACTGAAGCACTAGAATTAGGGATGTCTCCCCACTTCTAAAACTGTGTCCACCACAGCATCAGGAAATGGATGTCGTTTCCTCCGTACGCATTCTCCAGGGTGGCGTCTGGCATAACTTCATCCACATCTGGAGGTAGATCCAGCTCACCATTGTTCAAGGTTATTCTCTTCCACAAAACGAGTATTCTCAGGAGGTTTTAAGAACTTACCTAGTCACCTCCAAACATCTTCCAAGACTAACCGAGGAGGTTTGTGCACGTAACAGTGCAAAATCCGTATCACTGCCGGTGTCCATATAGGTGAAGCACTTTGGCAAGGGTGGTCAAATGTGAGCCAGTCATTGGCCAACCATTCAAAAAATATATAAATTGAGGAATGTGTTAATCATGCTGCACCTCCGCCCCCAGCTCTCATGAGCCATCACTGATTAAAAAAAAGCAGCATGAACATTTTCAGAAATGGACAGAGTTGGACATAAGTTTGGCCCAACAAAACACAACAGATGCACAAAATCAGCACAAATTGGCTGCCAAGACAATGCGTTGGTCAAATGTGTTGCAGCGGTTGATCAGTCTTCTCAGAATAATGGCTATGTAAAACCTGGCATTCCATAGTACGACAGATTGGCAATGGCAATTTTCTCAAACTAGTGGAGATCAGTGGCCTTTTGGACAGGATTATGGCTGAACACAAAATTTTAACTGAGCACATTAAACAGGTAGCAGAAAGTGGATTGCCCCAGGTTGACTTTAGCCATGTGGTGTAGTTTTCATTTTTCATCAGTCATTATCGAAATAAGTTTCTCACCACCCATCTCAATGGCTGTTCCGCTAGAAGAACATTATCGTTAAGTAGTATATTCAACACAGTTAGCCTCACTGCCTATAGTGCCACTGTAGTGCCCGATCTCACTTCGCTCTCTTGTTCCGTTCAGTCCCCACTCCATGGGAGCCATGTCCATTCATCAATCACTGGCCTTTTTAAGGACTTAAATTTCAAGCAAGTGATCATCCACTGTCATAACAGAACAACCATTGTGTTGCCAAATTAATTTCTGCAGTGACCGAAGCTTCATCCAGCTGGATCTGTCTATCATCATACCCATCCCTGCTCCCTGTCCATTCTTTACAGGATGTTATAATCTCCATACTCTTACCCACCCATTTAACACACTCTTCACAATGCAGGTCGATGGATCCGCTGTTGAGTCCTGGTTCCTCACAAAGTTTCGTCCTCACACCCCTGAGAGTTTTTTCTTGCCCTTGTCACACTCATTCGGACCCGGATGTTTGTAACCATGTCACCATTATGCTGAATCAAACTCATCTGCTCCATCTTTCCTTTCATCTTTTAACCTTAATAGCAACACGCGGTTTTACCACAAGTATCATACAAAGGGCCAACGTAAGTAGAAATTCTCTAGCCAAGCTGCTACAGTTCACATGTCACCTCTTCAAAATCAGCTCTTGCAGGACAGAGACTTCTGGACCAATGTCTTTCTCATTATGTGAAGGTCCCTCATGCAAAGTCTTCATACACCTCACACAGTCAAAGACCTGAACAGGTCATGAAATTCTCTTCCCTCCTTTACTTAGTCTTCCCTCATACTACCACCATATGCTGAAGGCATTGTCCAATTTTACAAAAAGGAGTTATGGAAAAACTGAAATTTGAAAGTAGAAACTCCTCCACCTTCTAATCTAATGCCCTATAAATTCCCCTCTCTACTTTCCGTTTCCCATGACCAAGCTTTCACAAACCCCACCACTAGATAGATATGTTGAAGGCACAGAACAAACTCAAAATGTGGATAAACCAAGGAACCTGTCCTTTATGGTCATGAATGTGAAGCATGTCTCTGAATATTACTGCTACAGCTTAGAGCTTGTTAGCAGTCTGTTGACCAAGTCTTAGAGCAGTCTCAAAGATAAAAAAAGAGGCACATGAATAAAGATTTTAAACCACCTTCAAACTTCAGCATAACCTATTTAAACTAAATATGCTTAGAAATGTAGATAAAACTATTTAATTTTCAAAGAAACCATGTTATCATAGTACAACATTGTGAAGTAATGTTTGTTTCTTACAAATAAAACGTTTATGGATGGACGTAAAGTGATGAAGATTTACTGTTTTGAAGAAAACTGGCGTCATCCATAAGTTGCACCATTTTAGATAACGTGACAAAGTACATGCTTTCTATCAGCTTATTTAAACTCCTGCATTCATTCTGTGCTGTTTTTTTTTTTGTTTGCTGCTGTGACAGTTTTTAATTAAATATTTGGAGCAGCATGTCCATCTGATATACTGTTTTGAATGTTTGTTTCGGTCTGATATTGTATTGAAATAATTTCAACCTTGACATTCAATTAGATACCTTAAACAACTACTTCAGATGATTTATGACAACCTGGCTGGGCTTCACAATTCAGACACTGTTGAGACTCAGCTGACCTACACAGAGCTACAATTCCAACCAGCCATTTCAAACAGGTTAGTTTACGGGATTAACAAAAACAAATTTGATTATTAGGCTACTCAGGCATTTTATTTAAGGACAGACAGGGCAGCATAATGAAACTCTTTTTAAACATCCCTGTTTTAATGCCACATTTATAGCATAACTGTAAATATATAAATTTCACACAGACCACAATGTTTTTTCTTTAGAAAATATATATTCCAGTATATAAAACAAAATTAAGACTAAAAATGTATGTGAAATAATATGCTTCCATAATAATTACCTTAACTTTCTAGTACAAATTCTGAAAAAGCATCAAACCCCACTCCTAAGTACAGATTGCCCGATCACAGCTTAGAAGTTGTAACTACGTCCAGGCATCTCTGACAAGCTTTGTTTACTGCCGTGCATACCTAATAAATGTAATCTTCAAAACGCATGTAGCCATATGAATTTGCATTAAAGATAAAGGATATTGCTCCCTTCATAATAAAGCCTTACTCATCTGAAACAACTGTGTGTATTTCGGAACTTGGCATTACATACATCTGTGGTTAACAACATAGCCATCTCTGTCTCAAGATTACACGCTATAATACAGACAAATATATCCTACTTTCTTGAGCTACACTTCAGCATCTATGCTCCTTCAGCCATTATTTCTCTTTGGTTTGAGTTGTGTTTCTTCAGAAATACAATGAAGGAAAGACTTTGCAGTTATACTTCAGCAGAGTCACCATTGGCTGGTGGTTTCCTGAAAGGAGAGAATATATCTTGATTATTCAGGCAAAAATGCTTTTATATCTTGTTCTGACTATATACACCAACATATTTTTGCTGTCATAAATATACCTTGATTATCCAAAATAGTAAACCATTTTTAACTTTTATGAACATTAACGTATCATCATTTGTATTTTGTAAGTTTGGACCATTTCTATTGGTCCATTCATCATGAAACGTCCACAATGTAAAGGGCAGCTACAGAGTTATGAGGTTCTGACATGACAGCAGCGACATGTTTGTCATATGTTTCAGGTTCTGATCACAATCACAATCACAATTTTGAACTACAATGATTGCAGCAAGATGGGGATCAAAAATGCCTGAAAGAGCTGCTGAGACCCTAACGGGGTTCAGGCTGTCACATCCTGAGTTCCTGAGAGCCATTTTTGTGGATGGTCTGCATCCAACCCTCTAAAAAAAGCATCTACTCGAATTTGGTGAGGGGAGCTTTGTCGCACGTGACCTCTGAATGTACCCTGTTCGTCTCCCCCTTTCGTGCCTGTAGTTTTGGGATGCTACCCCTCGGTTTCTCTAGCCCATTCATGTCTCTGGATCAAAGCATACACAGACACAGAGACTCAGCCAAGGTAGGCCAGCTCACAGTAAAGGGTCACTCTTATATTATATCAGTCCCCTTGTTCATAAACACTTTCTGTAGTCTGTATTATTTTCCTCATAAACCAATAGGCCTTCAATGAAGCACATGAAGAGAGCAATTCAGTACTTTTAGCAATAATTTCACATCAACAGTTAAACAGAATGAACAATGAGGTAGTCATTAGGAGTGAGTAATCATTTAACTAAGAAAGAGCAAAAACAAACACGTTATCCTGTTATTAGTACAAAAACGATGTATGTAGTCTTCATGACAAGCTGAATTTGAAAAGAATGAAAGGAAAAGATAGTTTACACAGCAACATTGTTGATCACCCCTTCCTACAAATGCTCAGACACCTGGCCCGGATGTCTCTGGAACAGCAAACCACCACCAATAGTACCAGGATGATGACTATGACAATTCCAGCCATAGCGCCTTTAGTGAAGCTGGGCTCTTTCTCAACTGCAAAAGAGTTAAGTACATGTATGTTTGTTAAGGCAATACTTAACCCAAAATTCTTACATGTGGTTATGTAGGCCAGTAAAAGCCAGAAAAATGAAAGCTAGTGGGGCTGAAAGGATGTGCAGTGATATTGGAATTGTACTGATAATAGCAGATATTTGCTTTAAAGAAAAGACTGGCATTGGACAGATGTTTAGATTTGACCGATACTTTAAACAATATTTGATGACATAGTTATGACAACGCTGACTACTGTGCTAAAATGTTTACATTTTATTCATTTTATTTATTTCACTCATCATACTGCTTTTATAACACTACAGAAGTAAATGCTACATTTCTCCGTAATGCCAAACCAGGTGGATCTAGTCTAAATAAATGTTTATGCATTGGTATCAATATCGCCATCGGTAACTATATACATTAAAAGTACTGGATATCAGCATCGACCCGCAATTTCCATATCAGTGCATCCATTTTTGTAAAGTATACTAACGTGTCAATGAATTATCAGAACACATGCTTATGACTGCGGTAGTCTAGTGAATCCTTACCCTGTGGAATGGTGAAATTGAGTTTGGCTGGGATAGAAGAGCCATTAATGTTAAATGCCGAGACCTCCATCTGGTAGTCTGAGTTGTACTGAAGATTCTGTAGCTGAATCTTAGTGGAGTTAGCAGGCATTTGCTTTTCTATCCAGTTCTCACCCTCCTTGTTCTGCCAAAGTGAAACAGATGATGTTAATTCTGAAAAAGTGCTCCTCTTTGCTAGTTTACCAAAACAGGTTTGGAAAGTTTGAAAAAGCAGTATATATATATATATATATATATATATATATACACACACACACACACATTGATGAAGGTTTGTCCTAGATTTTCTAATGTTACTTTTATGACTTACATGTAATCACTATTAAAGCTAGATGGGTCTAGTCAACTACCACACAATTACAATTCTTTTTACTTAACCGGACTCCTTGACAATCTTAATCAGAAAATATCAAAGCATGTGTCATATAATTAGAGATAAAATATTTATATATAATATTTAAAAAATTAAAGATAAAAAAGCTTGAAAAGTAAACAATAAGTTTTTCATTTTAATTTCTTGTGTTCTGATTTATTGTATGGCAATGATGAGTGGTAGAGACAAGGGTAGAGTTAGCCAGGGAGCCATAAAATCCCTGAGCCAAAATATGTGGACTACAGAGAGAAACTGCTAGTTGGTTTTGTTGAAAAATGACAAAGGTACAAAAATTATTCAGTTTAACAACTGACCATCCTGTAGCGCACTAAGAAATGCTGAATGGGATGTCCTCCATCGTCCAGCTGTTTGATTGGGATGGAGTAGGAGTTTCCCTCTATCTTGCCGTCAGTAGAAGACAGTACAGGCTTGTCTGGCTCCCCTACAGAAAGTGAAGAGACAGAAGAAAAGGCAAAAAACAGGACAATTTAACGACAACAAGAATTTAGTAGCTAGAAATGTGCACAACACTGCTGGTTGCTTATAGATTTTTCATTCATTATTACACCATCAATTACAAGGTATGACAAAATATATGCTGTACTTCACAACGGTTTATAGCTACCCAATACATAGTGTATATTACGTCTGTTTAATGAATTGACAGGCCTACTGATTTACCCTCTGTGATGGTGAAGATAAAGGAATATATAATTATTGACTATTTTTTAAATTGCAGAGTAATAAAATGAAAACAGCCACCAATCAGCATTATGCAAATTACATTATGGTAACTGTTGGCAATATCATGATATCATGCTAATTTTTGGTTCACTGTTAGCCACATTAGCATGTTTAATCATGCTTTTCTACTATTCTAGTGTTTTAGAGACATGAAAAAAAGTTAAACCTGCTCCAATGTCAGAATATTTCATTGGCTATTTCAAAGATTCAGGCAAATACAGAAGCCAAAATTTGGAAATCTTTTGAAAAACAAGCCCCAGATCACATCTACCACAAATCAAGTGTTAGCAGATAAGATGGAATGAGAGGATGAAGGCAAAGGAGTTTCAGTGGCTGTGTTTACATGCAAAGATTTTTGCCAATCCGATTGAATACAATCCGATTACAGATTCAGACTGAGGTGTTTATATGCACACTCTATTCAACGATTTGATGGAAAATCTTCGTTTACATGCTCACTACAAGTAATCCGATGCAAAATGACGCGCATGCGTGGAGTAGCGTTTAGAGTAAACATTACCATGACAGCGAACATCACGTGAGGTCCAGTCCGCGTGAGATGAGTTTCCAGTTGGCACGCTTGTGTTTTAATTGCTTTAAAATGATGTCAGACTCAGGAAAACGTGCTTCACATGTGCTTATAAAGGAAGCCGCGAGAGGAAGACGTCGTGTTCTGAGACTCATAAGCTGGACGTCCGTCCCACCGCCGTCTTTTAAAGCTCAGAGCATAAACTTCGTCTCCTCTGCAGACCTGTTTCTGCTCCGCCATGCTGAACGGTATAAACTTTCGCCATGACGCGACGCACATGCGCAGAACATACTTACACGTTCCGATTGGAATGTAATCGGATTCAGGCGTTTACATGGCTAGTATTCTTCTATTTAACGGATTATTTAGAAGTTTACCCACCTCGTTCAATCGGATAGAAATTGTATTCCGAATGGCCTTAATCGGACTAGTCTATTCCGATTGAGGTGTTTACATGGACGTGTTCTATTCCGATTGAGCTATTAATCGGATTATTAACGGATTATCAGGCTGCATGTAAGCGTGGCTAGTGACACTTACGTCTGGCCTGGGTGCGGATCTTCTTCTCAGCAGACAAGCCACCAATAAAGTGTTCGCTTTTGGCAGCAAAGCGCACAGAATACTCAGTGTATGGAGCCAGAGATGTGACTACCAGCGATTCTAGAGATTCAAACAACATCTGTCAAAATCTCATCATGTAAGAGCCCCGCATGTGTACAATAATTTAAAGCATTGTAATTTGTTTGTTTACTCGCTAGTGCTATGTCTCAACAGTGTTGGTGCCTGAATGTAGGAATTAGTATGATTAGATATGGTAGCTATCCATGAAAAAACGCAACACAACAACAACAAAGTAAAAAATAAAACCACTCTGATTCTGTACTGAAGATGCTAAATATTGTGCCAAGGGTGAGTAAATTACCAGAAGAAGGTATGGCAATCTGACTCCACTCATCTTGTGGTTGTTTTCTCCACTGGATGACAAACTTGGAGATGGGAGACCCTCCATCTATAATGGGAGCGTGCAGGGTGATGTGGGCTGATGTGGGTCCAGGTGAAACAGTGAAATAGATGGGCACTGCAGGTGCAGCTGGAGATGAGAACACATGAAGTGAGAAATTATAAAATTATCAAAGACAAATAAACTTCAAGTATTAATTTGTTAATGTTTAATTAAACATGAACATATATGTATCTCACTTATTAGCCTGAAATCCTTTGTGGTGCTGCCTGCCTTGTTGCTGGCTTTGCAGGAGTAGACACCGCCATCAGAGGGCTTCACATTCTCGATATCGAGCTCTGAGTCTGACCCTTCTATTTTCTGCAGACCAGTACAAGAAACACAATAAGAAACAAAAATAAAAGGTTTGTACTTTATGGACAACATTGACTGTATTCAAGCATGTTCAGGCAACCACTCAAAAAAAATATTCAAAAAGCAGAACAGTGGGGCTCCAACAATTATTTAACACCATTGATTAGTTGCTGATGATGTTGCTTAAGGAAAAAAGGATGACACATCAGCAAACTGATCTCTAATGTTCATATGATACATACAGCCATTGTAACAGGTTGCAGTTCTCTACAGGGAGCATTGGGGTGATATGGCTTCTGATGTAACCAGGAGCAGTGTCAGAGGGGCATTTAGTGGGACAGTGCCCTGCTAAACCTTATGCACACTTTTATAGTGGCACATTGCAAAAAAACATATGAAAGTAAACTTTCTGCGCACTGCTGCTGCGGGATATACAATAAGCAGTGTTATAGTAATAATCATTATATGCAGCCATGCAGGACAGTTGGTCCTGCAACAAAAGTCACTTTTAAACAAAAACTCAGTTTCCTACCTTGCCCTCATGGTTAAGCCACTCGATGGTGGGTGAAGGGTGTCCTGTGGCATTGCAGAACACAGACACAGACCCTCCAAGCTTCACTGCCATCTCCTCCTGGCTTAAGATCACTGATGGGCGTTCTAAAGACAATCGGCAACCCCCATTACAAAGTTAACATACCACAGAACAACCATCATGCTCCCTAAACAAGGCGGTAAACTGAACAACTATGTGATCCCTTAAGCCCAAGATAAAGAAGTTGACAAGAAAAAGTTTTAACCAAAAATTAACCTTTGAGGAACTATTTGACTATCTGACTTGATTAAAGGATGTTTTACTCCAGAATCAGAAAAAAAGGTCTAAGGTAAAAATAATGGATGAATGGTGAATGAGGGCACAGACAGAAAGGATAAAAAAGTAGAGGAAATCTAGAAGCTGCTCTAAACCATTGAAAAAAGTTTATAGTAAGTCCAAATGGAAATAGTTGCTTACACTGCACCAAATTTCTCTGTTAATCGCTGCAGTTGTACTTTTGACATAAGAATTGATTTGTGGTTGTCAACATCAGAAAAAAAAGGAAATGGAAATGGGCACAAAGCACTACTCAGGCTATGGTATCAGCTTCCCATATCAGTTTACTTTCTTGGTGCCAAAATAGGTGATACTGTTACTGTAAGACCTAAGCGATCCATACCAACAGTGCAGGAACTCTAGCTAAGCTCACTGTTTTTCTTTTTAAGGAAAGAGGATTATACATGTGGTTTCAGCCTCCTTGCTTAGTTTAACAGCCGAACAATTTCTCACCTGAGACGTCCAGTATGAACGCTGCACTGTCATCTCCAAGCTTATTGGAAGCCGTGCAGGCGTATTCTCCAAAGTCACTTCTGGCCACAGCTGGGATGATGAGCTCACTCTTGTCTGAGTTGTATATGTAGCGAGAAGAATCTGAGGTAGAAGGCCTGAGAGGGAAGACAGATGCAAGTTTAATTGAACCCATAACTGCACAACACGAAAATGCTAACTGAGTAATGCTGGTAAATGAATCATGGTTACTGGTGTCTACTTACAAAAAAGAGACACAATACTGTGCAAAAGTCAGAGACCACCATTCATTTATTTAATTTCCTTTTAAAATAGCCGTTTAGTACACTTTATTCATTGTTAAGGACATATTTCTGAGAAGGTTAAAGATAAGTTAATCCAATTGCCTAAGAAAAAAGAAAGTCAAAGGCAAATAAATGGAAACAAATGGGAGTTTTCAAAACTGGAGTTCCTAAAATAAATTAAAAATAAAGAGAAAATGGGACTCCTCACAACTATGCAAGAGCCGGTAGACCACCAAAACTCTAATCATCAGATAAACAATAATTAAAGCTTCTTTGTTTTGAGAGAGAGGAGAAATCAAGCTCCACTCTTGCTTCAGGTCTGAAAAAATCCACAGGTGTTTCTGTCAACTTATAGAGTATAGACAAGTATAGACAACTTATAGAGTTGTTAAACAAAGAAGCTGCTGGTGTTTTCAGAACAATGGACTGTCCACCCCAGAGTCCAGACCAGGGTTGGGATAGCTACTGAAAAATTACAAGTTAGCTATTATGTAGCTACCTTCCCAAAAGTTGTAGCTAGCTACAATTTAGCTACTTTTCCAGAAAAAGTAGTGGCTACTTTTTAGCTACTTTTTGAAAAGTAGTGCACTACTTTTTAGCCACTTTCAAAGCGCGATTGTCAGAATGTTTGTAAATCTCCACCTGACGCACCAAACAAGCCCACCTGATAGTGTGAACAAGATGCTGCATTTAATCATGTGCCAGAAAGAAACTTAGAATTAAAATATAAATATACAAAAATATACAAAAAGATCACCAAAAAGTAAGTTTAAGTGTAACCAACAATCAAACTTACACAACCAAAGGCGTGATATCCAACAAAAAAAATTAGACTAAAGGCAAAGTCAGTCATTCTGGGTTTTTCCTTACAAAAATCAACAAAAATAACCGAATACAAACCAAACAACTTTGTGCAAAGCATTGTCAACTGTTGAAATAAAACTGCTCCAATTTGAACATTTCCCCAAGATGTGTACAGACATGACATTCAGAGTCCTTTGTTAAACATTCGCAACACTTTAGCCTCAAAATTCTCATCAGTGACACTCACTCTGTTTGGGGTCAGAATCAAGCCTGAATAATCTCTCCACTGCTGCAAAGCTGCTGCGGCTCCACAGCAGAACTAGATTTTTAGGTAAAATAACATAATCCTCCTTTGCTGTAAAATCATTATAACACACAGTTCTAACACACTTTTCACAATAAATGGTCTTAAACACTGGAGTTGACGCATAACTGACGCATAACTGACACATGTTTAATCTGCAACAACTCGCAAAGTCGCTTTTCATTCTCCGGCTACTCGTTCGAATTGTCCCATTCCACCTTAAATGGCGCAGCAGTACAATCTGGCGCCTAAGGTACCATTTAAGGTGGAACAGGACAATTCGAACGAGAAGCAGGAGAATGAACAGCGACTTCAGCCTCGTAAAAAGTCAAACATTAAGAGAAATTTTACAAGAAACTCACGGAAAAGTTTCCTGAGCTAAGGTTAGAGCAGATCAAAGTAAGTGAGTTTTTGTTTATTTCATTTTTAGCCTGTACTAGCACATCAGCACATACTGAGACATACTTACAGCCAAGATAGTAAAACGAACATAAAATGTTGTGGCTCCCAAGGTGGTTTCATTTTTGTTTAAAGGACAAAATGGCTCTTTTTAACATTTTGGTTGAGACCCCTGAGTTAAGCCTACTGGTAAGGGGTGATCAGCGTGTGACAGTGTGCTCGAACTGTCCGCGGCTCAGTCAGGTTTGCACAGTCGCCACCTGCCCAGTTAACGACCGCGTTCTATGGTTCATATTTTGTGCGGACAGCCTGAAGCCTGTAGTGAAATTGTAGCAAAAATGATCGCTATAGCTACACAAAACTTTGTAGACACTACAGCTATTAGCTACATTTCCTAAAACTGTAGCTACAAAAAATGTAGTTAACTACAAAAAGTAGCGCGCTACTTAGCTACTCCCCCATCCCTGGTCCAGACCTCAACTTCACTGCATGAGTTTGGGGTAATTTGGATTGTGAGAATCAGAAAGTGCAACCAACTTCTAAGACTGAACACTGGAGGTGTGGAAAAATATCCCTGCAGATTTCTTTGAAAAACTAAAAAGTGATGGTCTTTGGAGAATGGAAGCTGTCATGACAGCCATGTGGACACACTCAATACTAAAAAATACTGGATATTCTATTTAGTTGTTTTAGTCATTTTCTGTTTTTCATGTTGGTAAATAATGGTAAACAATGTGCATAATGGTTGTTTTGACTGTAACTAAAGGAAATGAAGGGTGGTCTGTGAGTTTTGCACAGTAATCGGTGTGCTACTATATGAAAGTACTTACACTGTCCAGATAATGGCTGGTTGCGGATATCCTGAAACCAGGCAGATTATTGTCACGTTTGTGTCCGGTCCTGCATGAACATTTGTCCGCTCACTGCGAATCATCACGGTCGGTGGAACTAGAGGAGCCAAGGAAGTTGAGGAAACAGTTAGGAGAATAACTCTTTGCAACATTTATCTTTACATTTACAGCATTTGGCAGACGCTCTTATCCAGAGCGACTTACAATTTGATCATTTTTTTTTTTTTTACACAGGTAGGCGAAGGTAGTGTTAGGAGTCTTGCCCAGGGACTCTTATTGGTAAAGCGTAGGGTGTTTGCCCAGGCGGGGATTGAACCCCAGCCTACAGCGTGGAAGGCAGAGATGTTACCCACTACGCTATACCAACCACTTCTTTCACCAGATCCTGACATGATCAATGAGTTCTAGAGCAGCCTGTCGCTCTTGGTTTAGCTTCTTATTGAGCCATGTCTCTGTACAGTGTAAAAACTCTCACACCTTACCGTTTACAGCAACAGAGATGTCCAGCACCTTCTTTATGGTCGGTCGATCTTTTATGTTCGCCACACAGGTGTAGGTTCCATGATCACTCTTACGAATGTTCGTAATTTGCAGATTCCTATTCGGCAGAACTGTGAGATGACCACTGCCTGTGGAAAAGAAGGAGTGAGGGAGTCATCACTGTTGACCACTACCTTCTTTTTTTCATTACAATGAAATGAAGGCTTATAAAGCACATGCACTACTTAGGTTGTCAGTGGTGGCATTTCGTGAAATGGGGCAGTGCAGCTTTTTCAGAGTAAGTATTCTCTCACTCTCATTGTTAGACAGATGAGAAACTGGGTCAAATTTTTGGAGTTAGTATTCTCTCACTCTGAGTGTTAGACGGATGAGATATTTGATCAAATGGACAGAGCTGTGAAGAAGTTGTCCAGCCGCTGACCAGAAACATCCCTCAATTTGGCAACAAATTGGGTCATGACATGAGCCGGTGACCTCCCGCCCTGTAACCATCGCCACCCCTCCGTTCTGCCAACTGCAGGCATCACAGAGAATGAGGAAGGCGAGGAGACTCCCGTACCACATGGATAGCCTGTACCGAGGGTCCTACCGTCATTGCTCACAAGGTGACCATCCCGATACCAGTTGATCTCCACATCAGGCTTCCCAGTGACCACACATGGGACATGCACTGTCTGGTTCACCAAAAACTCATGGTATGTCTTTGTCTTGCCAAAGTTTGGGTCCTCTGACAATGAAAGAGCAATGAAAAGCAAATGTGAATCACTGTTCATGGAATCACTTACAAAGCTGTAGATGCATGGAAATGGGCAAAAGTCATCTAAGAAAGTGTCATCTAGAGCTATTTATCTAGGTGGTGAGCAGCTATATTTCACAGAAAAATGCCAACATGAGTATCATCGCTGTCAAAAGAAAAACAAAATCTCCAACAAAATCTCCAAAATGGCAACTTTGCAGGAAAAGGCAAAATGTTACTTACTTTCACTGTAAGTTGTAAAAGGATTTCATTTCAAGCAATTTTGGAGCATTTCTGTTGGTCATGAAATTTTCATGAAAGGTTTTTTTTATAGACAGTGGCAATATAATAAGCATAAATAGAATAATAAATATGTAATAATATATGATGATATCATAATATAAATAAATATAATAAATTGTGATTATATATTTGCCAGAGTCGGCTCCTGAAAGCAAATCCAGTATTTGTTGTTACCGTCCAATACCTGGCTGGGCTAATCAACACTTCTTTATGAAAAATCAGATGGTGGTGGAACAAAATAAATCCTTGCAATTGCTGGGCTGCATTGATGAGAAACGGAACCATACCAGTGTTCTAATTAGATCACAAGGTACCAATAACTTTATTTAAAACATTTTTTTTCCTTTTACTTATGTACTGCATTAATGTAAAGTGTATTTATTCAAATACTATACAATCAAAAATATACTTGCTCCCTGGATAAATAGTATTAAACAATTGTAGTTGTTGCATTGTTAGGAACATAAAGGAACCCATTCCCATCGTGTTTTTTTCTCAAGTCTAAGTAAAATATTAGTAAATATAAGTAAAATATTGTCTTGTTATCTCGAAATAAAGACATTGTTTCTAAATGTTCACTTAACAGGCCAGAATAATGAGATTTTTCAAATATAGAATAATGCTTTCAACAGGAAAAGAAATATTTTTTTCAAAATACTAAGGCAACATTTTGAGAAAATAAGTCTTTCTTTTCAGATACTAGGTACATGTTATTCATGTTAAGAGATATTTGCTGAGGTTAGAGAGGAGAAAAAAATCCTGAGAGGATTTTTCTCCACTACCTTGGGTTTTGGACCTTCATAGAAGCAAGAACAGTGTTGAGCAAGAAAACAAATTAAATGAATTAAATGTGTTGAAAATGGTTCTATTCGACATGACACAATAATACTATTAACACATCTTTAAATGTTGACAACACTTTGTCACAAAGTATCAATATTAGATATACGAAACACAAGGTGTCTTACCGTAGACAAGGATTTTGATGGATGCCTTGTCAGTGTGAGTTTCATAGTCACAATTGCATGTGTACGTTCCACTGTCTGTTAGGTCAACCCTCTTCAAAATCAGTTTACTCGAAGTTCCTTCCACTTTCTCCACTACATGACGATCTTCGTCAACATCCTCCCCATCCTTCTGCCAAATAATATCTGCCTCTTTAAAAGCTAGAAGTTATAAGGATAAATACCACATGAAACAAAAATGAATTTGTGGTATTGTCTTGGGTTTCATACAGAATACTGTAATTCTTGTAAATGCCTTTTACATGTTCTATGAATTTCTTAAGTGATGCTGCAGGTTTGTTTTGGAAGTTTTGACATGCTTGGCTTGGACTGGGAAAGACTGTTAACCGGCATCTAATATTTACATTATGCTGTGGTTCTTTAATACTTGTACATGGTATTTCACACTAACTACGAAATTCTAAAAAATATTTTTAAAAAAAGTTAAACGTTTAAAGAGAAAAATAAACAAAACATAAACAATGTCATCCATATTGGACTGAAAGGCTTCCTTCTAGAGAAACTTGCTGAGTCAGCATCGTTCGGTGGTTATAGGAACCAGATGTCTGAAGAGATTAAGGCCTCCTAAAACTCCATCACATACATTTTTGCACGAAATGGTTATGAATATGCTGCCTGATGCCTGGGACATTGAGATAAGCTTTTGGGCTGAAACTTGTTTTATGGTGAGGTGAATGCAGGGCACTGCAAGGCAAAATAGTCCCCAGAGAACATATAAAACATATAAAACTCAGAAGACACTGAATGTTTTGGGTAGCAGATAAAATTAGATTATTATATTTGCGTTGTAGACATCACAAGCCCTAGTTTCTATCATTAGAAAGTTTCTCCAAAATGCACTATTTCATCAAACCTCCCCAAATTACTTTGTTTACATCTCAACAATTAAATTATGCAGACGTTTAAAAAAAAATCATTGGAATTCCCTTTTAAAGAACCACTGAAAGGTTCTTTAGGTAAACAAACATGGTCCCTCCATGGCATCACTCCAAAGCACTCTTCATTTTCAAGTGTACACTCCCATGCAAAAGAAAGAAAAAAACAAGACGGGGCCAAGCCCAAAATGGCTTTTAATGTTCTTAACAACAAATCATTGCTCAGTAAATTAGCCAGAATTAAACAAACAGATACAGTATATTCATATGGGAGAACTGTTCCCTTTGATTTCTTTAAATGATGAAGTCTTGTGGGTAAATTACTGTTTCACTCAGCATTGATATATATATATATATATATATATATATATACACAAACACCAGTAAAAACGTGGACTTGGCCCATTTATTTTTGCCCAGGAGTGTATATATTACATAAACCTCAGAGAAAAAGAGAAAAGCAGACTAACCTTTGCACAGTAATAACTGTTCACTTCCAACCTTGATGTCTGTGTCACTGGTGATGATCTCTACTCTAGCATCTGGAAAAAGAAAAGAGCATTTTATTATTAGCTCCTCAGTAGGAACAATGAGACTGAGAGGACAGAAAGAAACACAGAGAGAGAACACACACTGAGAGAGACAGCATGTCTTTAACAGTTATTATTACGCTTAAGCATTCATAAGCCCTCTATTGTTAAGTGAGAGACAAAGCAAGACCAGAAATAGCTCCAAGAGACTAAAAGCAGATAAAAGGCAGGAAGAGAGTAAATGACCACTGGCAGTAGTGGACTTCCTTTACAATGCACTATTTCTACCTGTATAGTAATTCAGACCTCCTCTTGGTTAGAGAGATGTACAATGAGACGCATGTAAAGTGAAATACAATACAAGCAAATTAAGCGAGATTATAATGTGATAATATCTAAATCATAATTAATTATAATTATATAATAAATTATTAATATTAATATTTGTACTTCATTAACAAAAAAAGTTTTCTGCTATGTATGGACATACAGTGTATGTGTATATCTATATGTCCAGAAAGCAGTCATTCTTACCTGCTAGTCCTGAATACAGAAAGAAGAGGGCGAAGAGTCTCAGTCTGAAGAGAGATGCAGCCATTGCTGTATCTTCCACACCTGTTGCATAAAAGTGCACAATGCCCACTGGCAGCTGCGGTGGGCCACAGGAGGAGGCTGAAGACACGTATAATAACCCCTTTATCAGTGAAACGACAAGCGGGGTCCCAAAAGCTGCCCTGCCCTCACAGGCGACGAATCTAGAATGCCGGATGGAAGGCGGTTAACTGTCTCTTGAGAGTTAAAAGAGGAAGATATTTTATCGCACTGTCATTCGATTTATTAAGGGGCTCATCTCCAAAAACTGACTTAAAAACCAAAGACAGACTGCTTTATTGCGCAAGTGTGGTGTTATTGTATTGTTATTATGTGTCACATGTTTGTGTGGCATGCACTTTTTAGTTTTTCAGCCTTAAAATAATCCTTACAATAAACTTGGCAGTGCTTGGTTTAAGATATGTGGAATAACTCAAGGGAGCGACATGATCCTTTAGCTGTGTCAGCCAAAAGACCAATTTTTGTTTTACATGTTCTATATGTTTGTTTTCTTCTCCCAATTTCTACCATTTTTTTTCTCCTTTATTCCCCCTTGTAATTTTTGTTTGCTTGTATGTTTGCAGTTTGTTGTCTTCCCTCTACACGATGACAGCATTTACTAAAAGAAATGTGTAATACCAGTAATAAAGAAAAAGTGGTCCTCCGAAGAGGGGGGGTTGGTGGCGGGCAAAAAAAAAAACCCCAAAAGACCAACATAACCATGAAGAAAAATGGTTTGTATGGTTTGCTAACTGGGACGGCTAAAGGAGCGCATGATAAAAACTGAACCCTATCACAAGCAGCGCAAAATCAGCGCAGCATTCAACAAATACCATTAAATATATGAAATCTCCAAAAATAAGATAAAGGAAGTCCAACAAATTGGCATGCAAACATATAAACCTGTACCTATCAAGCTAAAAAGTCACAACAATGAGGAAAAATAAAACATATACAGCAGTAATAAACTAGACTGGTAATGTCAAACAAGGTAATGTCAAAATATACTATGTGGACAAAAGTATTGGGACACCTACATGTTACACCCACAGGAGCTTTTATGACATCCCATTCTAAATCTACAGGCATTAATATGGAGTTGATCCCCACTTTGCAGCTGCAACAGCATTCACTCTGCTGGGAAGCTTTCTACATGGACATTTTGGAGTGTCTGGGGGAATATTTGTCCATTCATGCAGAAGAGCATTTGTGAGGTCAGACGCTGATGTTGGACGAGAGGGCCTGGCTCACAATCACCGTTCTAGTTCATCCCAAAGGTGTTCGATGGTGTTGAGGTCAGGGCTCTGTACGGGATTTTCCACTTCAAACTCACCCAGTCATGCCTTTACAAACCTTGCTTTGTGCACTGATGCTCAGTCATGCTGGAACAGAAAAGCGTCTTCCCCAAACTGTTCCCACAAAGTTAGAAGCGTACAATTGTCCAAAATGTCAATGCTATGTCAATTTTGTCATTTTTGCTATGCTAAAGCAATAAGATTACCCTTCACTGGAACTAAGGGTTCTAGGCCAACCCCTGAAAACAACCCCATAGCATTATCTCTCCTCCACCAAACTTTACAGTTGGAACAATGCAGTCAGGCAGGTAACGTTCTCCTGACATTAGCCAAACCCAGACTCGTCCATCAGACTGCTAGATAGGGAAGCATGATTAATCACTCCACAGAAGACCTTTCAACTGCTTCGGGAGTCCAGTGGTGGCGTGCTTTCACCCCTCCATCCATCGCTTGACACTGTGCTTGGTGACATAGGGCTTGCATGCAGCTGCTCGGCCATGGAAACCTCCTATAAAAATAATTAATTAATTAATAGTTAATTATTAAGCTGTGAAGTTTTTTCATTACCTTGTACTATTAAGTTTTATCAAAACATCTAAGTACATAAACACAATTTATGCAATAATAATAATAATAATAATAAGAACTCACTTAAATCTGGACATTGTCTGCAGTTTTACCAATCTTTGTGATTATGTTACAAAAGACTATTGATGATTATTAATGCATTAATAATAACACACGTACAACTATTAGTGCTGGTATGGACCAACATCTGGTCTGTTTTCACTACACTAATTTACGGTAAAATACTGACAGCTGTGGTTGCATCGTAAAAAATATAGTGACAATGTGTAAGACATTACGGTATGCTTTTTTGGTAACCATAAATTTCACTGATAAGAACTGTTTGTATACGGTTAATTACCTTTGACTCACATTAAAAGTAAAGTAGGTTTTTTCCTTCTCCTGTAAAGTTATCCATTTGGAGATGCGAGGTTTTTTTTCCGACAACAGCGATATGCTTAATATACTCAGGTCTAACAGGTGTGGAGGTCTCTGGTCAAGTATTTCGTCACTTACAGTTTGTGAAGATGGATTCTTCATGACTGCATCTAAAATCAAGAAAAAAGTAAGAAAAATGTGTAATAAACAGTCACCATGCAAAACATAAGGATGAAAAGAATCCTGAACGAATAGTACAGTATCAAAATGTATCTACAAAGCAAGAACAAGAAAAAGCAAAGGTTTATGCAATAAAATACAAGAAAGAGCATGTTATTGTGAATAACAAAGTACTATGTCTTTTACAACATCACACAACTTTCAAAGTCCTACTGCTTTCATACAACAGTTTTGCAGAGTAAAGAAAAATAAAAAGCAGGTCTGCCACTGTTTCAAATACATGTTAAAATAGAGAATATTGGCAATGTCTTGTGCTAAAACTTGTAATATTTAATGTAGTATGTACTAATATTCCAAAGAGCAATACCATAATGTTACTATAAATGAAAGTACCTGGTACCAGTCCTGATCAGTCGAGAAGCAGATGTAGCAGATGGATGGCTGTAAGAAGGTAAAACAATTGGTAAATGGTTAAAAGACTAAATGACTGAAACTGATACAGGCACATTTATGTCGACGAACTGCATTTGTATAATAAGCATTCAAGAAAAGAAGAGAGGACTGACATTTCACAAACTTTAGTCTGATATTGGAAGTTTAAGCATAATAACTCAGCAGCTAGTTACCAAATCACAGCTCAGTTAAACTTATTAACCTACTGTTTTAACTGCACCAGTCTCTCCCTCAGATTTCTGTTTTTATCCTCTAAACTCATGTGAGAGAAGCATCGAACCTGCTCTGTGGTGTGTGAGGCCATTAGCCTACTGGCCACCAAGCCAACAGTCCCCCACATCGCAGACCCTTGTTAGCTCGCTAGATTAGCCAGTGTGGTGCCCAGTCTCACAAAGTTGGCTATATTAGCAATTAGAAAAAGAGAAATTAAAGCGGTATTTTGTTACCTTCACACAACAAACCACAACTGGCATGAGAAAGTTCACTGTTAACCAGCTTATTGATGGTATAGTATCTTGTAGCTAACATTATTAAGAAATCAGCCGATATATTAGACTTGATTTTGTGTCATTAACAGTATGAGTAGCTGCCTTTTCCATTAGTAGGGCTTTGGTAGAAACAGCCTTTTAAACATGTTTAATGTGTGCTTTTTCAGTTATCATCGAGGACAGAGATGCAAAAGAGGGAAGCAGAGAGAGAGAGACAGACAGACAGCGAGAGGGGTAAATTAAAATCAATTTAAAACTATCACTTGATTTAGGTTTCAAAATGTATTTTCAGCTAAAAATAAACATATAATAAGTAGTTAAATCATTCATTAAATACACCTAAACAGGGTAGGAGTCTAATCAGTTTATGGAACAGTAATAGACGTTCATGGAAGAATGGAGGGATGGGGAAGGAACAAATGAAAGGAAAAGGTGCATATCAGTTATGGATGGGTGAAAAAGGAACAATGATTTTGTTAAAAAAGAACTAAAGGAGAAACTTACAGTTGGTGTAAGTCTCATACTTGACAGTTATTTTATTCACTCTGAGATGCAGGCCACATTTAGGCCAACTAAACCTTGCTAAAATTATGATCCTAGTCCCCTAAAGGCACAGGAAGATATGTAGCTATACGCTTGTCTTTTTGTAAACATAAATATACTCGCAAACGAATGCAACAAAGCTAGCACACAACCAAGTTCAAACAGTGACACATTTCACAGTTTACTGTGCTGGCTGGCATGGTAATGAAAACATACTAACTTGCTTTACTTTGGCTGACCGTCCTCGAGAAGTGAAATCAGTTAGATGAGGCTTTACAGCTACCAGAATGAACCGGTCTTCCAGCAGAGCAATTAACTTAGCTTTAGCTTCCGCCTACGTACATTAGCTAGCTAGCTAGTTAGCTAACGTACATACGCCCACGCTAAGGCTAAGTTAGCAAGCTAGCAACTGTAACAAGTGTACACACCAGTTTTTGCAACAGAAATTCGACACCGTCCCGCTTTATAATGGGTAATTTAAAAAAGTATCTTTCTCAGATTTTCTGAGAGCAAACAGTCGTCTAAAAGAGGCGACTCGCTAGCCTACCAAAAATTTATATGATGACTAGCTGGCTAGCTAACTAACTTAACTGTTAGCAAGTGATGCTTATTTTCGTTTTGACATGCAAAGAGTTTAACATTCAAAAATTACAGGATAAGGTTTGAATGAATACCCAATTAAAATCTATTGCTACGTCAAATAAACCAATAATTTACTCACCAAACGCATTTTGAATCCTTCAGAAGTTTCCAGAAGCAGCTCTAAGCGCGCAGTTCCCGCCTCTGCGGTGAAACTTTGGTGACGGCTCAGACCTGAGAACAGGTAGGTTCTGCTCTCCTCAGTATGGGTGGAATCTGCCCTTAAGTTTTTTTCCCCGACACATCAGTCACTGAGCCTAACTCATACCCGGGCCGGTTTATTTGTGCCAGTACAAACTCTTTGCCGAGCTCGAGCCGATGGTGTATTTTTTATTTAGTTCATTAAGTGGCACCATTTTTATAGAGAATCAGTTTCGCTGCTGAGTTCGCCCAACGGCTGCTCCGCACAGGCACTGGAGCGCGCATGTGCGACTCCTGTAAAACGTTACATCTGCCTGAAATAGTTGAAGCATCGTGCCTACAATGAGATGATATTAACACAGTAAAGGTTGTTGAGTCAATTAGATCACCATGAGAAAGTTGGACCAACTGTATTTTTTTTAATTTGCCTGACATTTAGCAAGTTGGATATTTTAGTAACCGCCAAACCACCTAGGCCACCATAGCAACCCCTTACACCCACCTAGTAAACACTGGCAGCCACAAATGATTGCTAGCATTGCTGCACAGCAGCCGCTTGACTTTCGTCAAAAATGCATCTTCCTACTTGTTATAGTTTCAATTGCACAACACATTAATTGTCAGCTTTACAAGGACATTGCATAAATCATGGTTTATTTAAATGTATGTTTTACTTTGAAATCTGACCTGTAGTGCTTTAAGTTGTAGCCTGCTAGGCTAAGCTAGCACAAGCATGCGGTGCCTCCTACTGCAGTACGGACTCAGTTCTAGTGAATCAATGATTGAAAACACTCGTTCAGAGGATAAAGACTCGCATCTGAGTGCAAACATTTGAATGACTGGTGTTGAAGTGACAGAAAGATAAAAAAAGAATAGTTTTGTGGTGGTTTGAGCTGGACG